TTTTTTCAATCTGACAAATAAATTTTTATTTGTGAAATTATAATTATTCTCAACTACTTATGTTACGCCTTACATATTCCTTAACGTTGTCAAAATTTATGACAAGTACCCGAAAAGATCAAACCGAAAAATAAAAAAAAATCGCATTATCTCGTTGACAATTCTTATTTTGTTAGGCACATTTCTTGGAATTTCTGTCGATTCACTTTCGATATCAAAAGAAGTTCTTAGAAATTGATAAATTTTCTGAAATTGATAAAAGTATATCGAATTTCCAGAATTTTAAATTCACGTTAAATGACGATACAAGTGCCAAATCTTTTAAGATAACTGGAACTTTAATGAAAACGTTTCAATAGCCTCGCTCACAGTTAATTTAACTGATAATGGAATAAGTGGCATATTGCCAGACCCGCGGTAGCAACATCTTTGTTTGATGATAAAATTTTATGTAGAATTGAAGTTTTGATGAATTGCTATATTTTTAGTACAACATGTAGTATATCAAATGAGTCATCGTATTTGAGGTAGCACTGAAAATAATATCCATCAAAATGGCCCACATTAATAACGTCAGTGAAAAGTGATCCCGTTGACGCTACTGGGATTATTCTTTTTTCAAATAGTTGTGACGCGAATTGAACGGATTCAAGATATGACGTCCACTAGCAGTTGTAGAAATTTCAATAATTAGGAGCTACATTTTTTAAGGTTCTCAATAGGACGATGACTGTCCATAATACAGAGTCATCATTTAAATTATACATACATCATCTCCATTTAGAAGCAGAAGAATGTGGCAAATACTGTAGGAAAGGTTTTTTAATTCAGAAGTAATGTATCCAGGTTATCCGCATTGTTTCATTTCATCAACAACTATTCTTAACATTTGACAATCATAATAGATGAAACATTCAGAAAGTCTAGCAAGCTAAGAATCAACGAGGTCTTATATTTAAACATGCGTCAACAGGGTCGGCCCTAGAACTTTTGACATTCAGAGCACAACATAAATTTCCCCGATTTTTTTTTAATATGTTATGTTCTCATAACGGAAAAAAGTTCAAAAACATCATTGAACAAATTTTTCATTGAAAACTCAAAGAACTATGATAACTATAGATAAACATTTTTTTTGAGCTTTTATGTCATTGATTGAGCTCAATATACCATTTTAGAGAACCAAAAGTATATATAAATGTAGTGTCAAAAAGTGTGGAAGTTTTTTTAAATAAAAATTGGGATATGAGATTTGTGAGAATGTTCACTTGAAAATGATTTACAAAAATAAAAAAGACGCCACTGATTTAAGTTTCGACGTAAAATTAATTTTCTTAAAAAAGCAGAACTCCGACTGATATGATAATTTTCTGATATTAAATGTTAGCCATTGTAGGCTGAAAATGAGACATTTCTTGGATTAATCTCAAATTTAAATGAAAAATGAGAAAAGCACATTCTCAAACTAATTCAGTTTATGATAATAGTTTAAAAAGGGTCTAATAGGACGAAACGTAACATCTGTTACAAATAAAAGTGTTAAAAAAATAGAAAGTATTATTTCTCACAAGTTTCTTGATGCTTATTTATGCTATACAAAGAACCTACCTGCATATTTCAAGATTCTAGGTTCAGTAGCTTCGGCCGTACGTTGATATAAGAGTGTCAGTCAATCAATAGGTACCCACTGTAATGAATAGCTTCGAGAATCGAATTATGTTACCAATAAAGAAATTTCGTAAAACTAACACAACCGTCGAAGACGTCTGCCCTCACGCGTCTGCCAGCGTTCGGGTCGCATTCTCGGCGACGGCGCTTCATTGCTCAGATCGGCCATCTGCACCCGCGCATCGTCCCTCGTCGTCTTATAGTAGACGCGACGTGTAATGGCTTACTGCGTTGCGTCAAGTTGATTTTATTGTGATAAGCTTTAAATGATTCGTCCAAATTGCTCAATGTGAAAGACAAAGTTTATTTATATTAAATACTTCAAACGACAATCGTATCAATTTTTATAAGAATTTGACAGATATTCCAAAAAGTGCATTATAGAAAACATATCTAATTTAATTGTATTTATGGCTCAGTATTTTGCATTTAGTATTGTATTTTGGCATTTAGTATTTGCATAAAAGGGAGATATTCTGAATATTTTGATTGAAAAAAAATACAGCATATTTATAATACAAAAATATTTTGCGAATCGAATGATTTGAAAATAAAATTGAAACCAATGAGCCAGAATTTCCAATTTTTCTCGAATAATTTCAGTGGACAAAGGGGTCATGGAAAGGAGTAGTTCTTCATTTTCTACAACTTTCGTATTCCTCTTTTTTTTTCATTAGGAAATCATGAAAAACTATTTTCCACTCTTGAAATTCATCCTACTTCATCCCCCTTACCTTGGATTGATTTTGATTTATTTTTCCTACCGAGAGGTCAATATTATGAAAAATGAGAAATGAAACTTTCTGTTTTCTAACCGTTTTTATTTATAAAAGTGGAAAAAAAATCATAGAAAGTATTATTTCTTATATTTTATGTAACAACGGTTACATCCATTAATTTAGATCAATTTTAGGATACTCTTTCTGACAATTTTCAAGTTGTTATTTGTCTCTATAATAGATGTTTCGTTGGTCTATATATTAACAACAACGGTAAAACCCATTTCTGTATGTCTTTTTTCGTGTCTAATTTTTTCATTGAATCATGTTCGTTATACGATGGATTTTTTTCATTCTTTGTAAACATACAAACTATACGAAACCGGCCGAAATTCCCATCTAATTTTCTCGGTATTACGTTTTTCGAGCCCATTTGTTGTTTATTTTAATTTTTTCATTCCCGAAATTAATTATACTCTGCATTTTGTGAAACGAGCTTCGTAATTAGGTAATTATAAGGATTAGTCTGTAAGCCCATCATCACTTCTTCCAACGAAAACAAACAGAAGCAATTATATGGAAACAATTTTTTTATCGATCTTTTTGGGTATTTTCATTTTCCACAACTTGAAAAAAAAACTGAAAATCAAATTGAAAAACTTTATACAGGTGTAGAAAATGAAAACTTTTTAAATCACTGTGATGTGATACTGTGTGAATGCAAAGTATTTTTCACAACGAGAAATGTTCTTTTCATCAGTAACTTGTAGGTAATAATTTTGCTTTTCATACAAAGAGCTAAGAAACTATACTGATACTTATTTCCCCGTTTCGGAAGCTAAAATGTTTCTCCGTCTTCAGAAAAAAATATATAATGATACTTTTTTCGTTAACTTAATTTTCAAATGTCCTTGATATATGTAGACGCAGTTTTAGAAATGTGAAATATTTCAATGTTGTCGATTGACTTCTGAAATATTCGTTGTTGTACAAGGTGTTTAAATTGATTTCACAAATTCGACACTATTCATATCTTCCGTTTAAGACGAATAGCCAAATATGATACATTTCTACGGAGCTGTTCAAAAAGCTCTTCTCTCAGGATTACTCTGGTCCAGAAGTGCCGCGTCTGGAAAATATGAACAAGATGATTTTTGAAAAAATTCAAGTGTCGGTTGCAAAAATTGCAAAACTTATAAACCATCAACTGAAAAAAACGGAGTTTGGCTTTTAGTAAATATCTCAAAAACTATTTGGAATTTTTTTAATTCAAAAAATAACTTCACAATGATATAAAATATTTTTAAAGAAGGTTAATATATTTTTTCGAAACTAAAATACTTGGACTATACGAAATCCCAGTTGTTATAACATGACGAAGAGTGGAGGTTGTTTTTCTAATGGAAATTATTGTTGAATTTCATCAATGTGAACCAGTGTACACTTGCTCAAAATCAACTCGAAATTCGAAAAATAAACTAAATTTCAGCAATCTCGCCAATTACCACAAAAGAGAGGTCAAAATATTACCCCTTCCCTTATTCCATGCCACTGGAAAGGCGGAATAAAATCACCTCCACCTCAAAAACACCCTGTATTTTTGAAACGAAGGATTTGCCGGGAAAATTTCATTTCAAAGGTAATTTTTATTTATTAAGGGAAATTTCCAGTTTCAATTTGGCGATGAACTTACGAAAATCCTACCTATTTTTTATCTGGTTTCGAGTAAATAATTTTGTAAATTGAAAATTATATCAGTTTCAATTCCTGCCTTATTTTCATTCCGGAATATTCAAAGTCAAAATTATATGTACTAGTCATTCAAAACATAGGTATATCATAGCCAATGAATCTTATATCTGTTGATGAAATTTGAAATTATTTCAACATCGTAAGCAATCTAGATGACGTTATTGAATAGAGATTAATAGGTTCCAAAAAAATGTGTTTGAAGTGGGTTTCTTATCAACCAGCTATCGTCTCCTCACGAAGGCCAACCCTCAGAAGTGAAAACGTGATAAAGAAAAAGGTCTCTCAGTATTATGACCTAGAATATAGCATTGACAACTGTTCAGGAACAAGCGACATTGTTCTTAAAACCTATCGTTTTTTGCTGAACTAAATTCAATAAAAAGGGGATATATTCCATGTATCCCTCTTTCTTTATAATAATAGACAGAAGAAAGTCAAAAGGTTTTTTTGCTGGACTAAACCATTTGAATTTTTGCATCCAGTATATCTATTTGGACAATTTGGGTCACATACGTGAATTGGACCATTAGTTCATATAGGAAAGTCGCGGAAGAGACCAAAGTTCCTTCAAAGTGTCCCCCTAGCCCTAGACTATAATATTGACCTGTTTTTTTCGATTCCCCATATTATTTACTGGAAGAGAGATATTAAGGGTGGGAAGTTTTTGAATTGTCACTCTGTATATGTTCTGCTAGCGTTACGACATTTCTCATTGTAAATAATATTCCGGAGAGCTTGGGTTTGTACTGCCGTCTGTACATTAATGGCTTTTCTGTGAACTCTCCAATAAAATGGAAATACGACTGTAATATATGGCTTCCACATGGTTTTCTCTTCTGATATATTTTTTTTTTGTTGCAGGTGATGGAAACGAAAAATATGATATATTTGGTATCGGAATATGCGAGCCAGGGGGAAATATTCGGTGAGTAGGTTTCGTCCGATTTTTACACACATAGACGTAGAAAAAAAATTCAAAAGAAGATTCCAAAACTATTTTCATCGGGTAAAATATGATTTTCATTGAATTAAAAAAAATAATTGGTTATGTTGAATGCTTCAAGCTGACACTGAATTGAATTCAACGAATTTTACTGGTATAGTCGAAGTAACCTTTATTGTGAATACTTAAAGCTATCGGCATCTCAGAGGCCAAAAAAACCAATACAGAGAAATAATGCCGCTGCCAACTAGCCCACGTGAACTGAAGAATTGGTGGTTCGTATTGGATAATTTTCACTAACCGAGTTTTATGTTCAGTTCAGAAACTGATCGCAATTTGAGTGTTGAAATTCGATATTGGTGCAGTTATAATTACTAAAAATTTTGTTATCTGCTAAAAATGTGGCGTCCTTGGACAAGTACTAATAGTAATAACGAGGGTGATAACGCAGACTTTTTCCTGTGTAAGTGATTCCAATAGCGATGGTGAACAATGCGAAAAAGAGATACCAGTGAATAAGATTCGGATGCATTGGAATATTGAAACACAGAGAGTATGTTTGAATGTATATAAGAATCTACATCTCAAGTTTGGTTTCGAGGGAAACAAACTATTACAGGTAACATCAGATTTGACCTAAATTCCTTTCTCAACTGTACGTAAAATAGTCAAAAACAAACCTTATGAACGCAAGACGCGATGTGATATGGGATTACCAAAACCTTTAGATGTTCATCTGATAAAATATGAAAAAAAAAACAATATGCGACTGTTACAAAAGTAATGAGATTCTTACAATTGAAATAATAAGGAAGAAATTGAATACTTCCGGCCATGTTTACTGGTACTAGTCAGTAGGTATATTTTAGTTTTAAGTTTAGTTTGTAGTAAGGGTCTGAGTGGAAGACCAGTTTCTCTCTTCCTGGTGTTGAGAGAAAACTGAATTCTCACCTTTTCATTACCTAGTTTTTTTTTTTATTGAAACTTAATATTGGTTGTGAATTTTTGGTAAATAATAAACGTATTATTATTATTATTATTATAACGTGAGCTGCTGTGACAAAACTCTTCAGAATTGAATAAAGAAACTAGGATTTAGATTTAAGATAATAAACAGACGTCAAGCAGTTATGGAAAGCAAAAGAATAGTGGAATTGCGTAAATAATACTAAGAACAAATAACTAAATATAGACAAGAATAACGGCAAATTTTCTATTCGAACGAAACTTGGTGTGACACTCACAAAACAGTTTTGAAAGGGTGGACTAATGGTTCGAGAATGTGTACGCCTAACATGCCTGCAAACAAAGGATCGCGACTAATCATTGTGCATTGCGGGGGAGGTAAAGGATGGGGGAAAAATTTATATATTTTATATTTCCAAGGGAGCTATTGACGATTTTATTAAAGAAACCCAAGAACACAAACTTTGTTCCGAAATTATGATCAGTACCTAAATCAACCTCCCGAAAGTCAGGACAAGAACTCAATACTGAAATCAAATTATATCAAATCTGAATAAAACAATGACATCACTGTATTCATAGATATGATAATATGCATTCTGTAGGAGTGGATATCTCTTTCTGTTATTAATAGCCGATGATAAATACCGTGAGTAATCAAACTTCACTTGATATCACCATTCTCATTCAATTTCCTTCAAATTGCCACGCTGGGATCGAGAGAAACGTCCTTCTAATAATCCTCGATAGAGAAAATGGCCAATTTCTTCGCCCACGGCGATAATTGTCCTTATTGTCCCCGCGTGGCGTGTGATGCTGACGCCACTGCCTGCATACGCCTACGAGGACCTTGACGGTCTGACGTCATCAGAGATGAGAGAGCGCCGGGGCGCCAGGGGTCTCAGAATCGACGCACAACAAGGAACATTGCGACCCTGGACCTAGAAAATGATGCTGGATACTAAAATCCCGCAGCCACGCACTCTCTTGTGCAATCTTTCATGACTCTATTCGTGAACGTCAGTTTCAGGGTTTTGGGGTCTATAGTTCAAGAGTAAATTGGGCTGTTGGTTCAATGATTTGAGCACTTTGATCTATCTGAGATAGTATTTGATGATACATTGAACAGGTGACTGGTTTATCGGTTTTGATTGTTTTTTAATCTCAGTTGTGAGGGGGAACAGTAACTGAAATTGGAGCTAAAGTCAAGTATCATCTTTTGATTTCGATTATTTGTTACACTCGTTGAACTTGAGAAATATGCGTTATCCTCCACATTGCAACCCTTTTTTACTCTATGGAACTATAAACTTTATAAATTGATAGATGTAGCCGTTACTACGTGGTAGAAAATCATAATGAAGAAAAGAGAAATGAAACTTTCAATGTTTTTTACCACTTTTATTTGTAACTAACGTTACTGCAGTTTTGTCCTATACGGACATTTTCAAACTTATACAATAAGCTAACAATGATTCATTACATTAGCCCTGTAGGTTCTAATAGAGATACTTGGCTTGATTGAGTACCTGAATTTATAGTTCACAATGCGGATCTGCCAATTAAAAAACCGGCGAGTATACTAAATCGATTTGATCATTTAACAGGTTGCGCCCATAATGTTTATGTTCGTGAATTTCCAAGGATTCTGAATAATTGAGTTTGTAACCCTTCCTTGCATAGTGCAGATTCAGAAACTTGTGGTTGCATACCAAAAAATGGTTTAAAAACGTCGAATCATTTTTTTATGTCCAACATAAACACCATTACACCCCGGACACTTTAGCTTATAAACTCCAGATTTCTCCAACTTGTCCACCTTATCTTTGGCATTGAAAAGGAAATGAGATAACCTGGCATGTGATCTGAATGCTACTTCCACATTGTTTTTTCTGAAGAAACCCGCAATTAGCTCTGTTCTTTTTCCAAAATATGTAAGCGTTACCAATTTCTTGATATCTGGTTGTTTGACCTGAGGGTATAATAATCTGTAAGTGAATTTCCGGCTTTGTTTCCTGACCAACTTCGAGATAGTATCTGCGTTGAAACCATTATTATGACCTATCTGTGTAATTATATCAATTTCCCAACATTGAACCTAGCTATAGCAGACATCACCATCCCAAGCGATTCTTTCCATCAAGACAGTCATAAATTAGCAGCCTACAATTCAATTTTGCACAAAGCATTCTCTCTGCCTTTGTCTGCTAACAATCTAGATAGGGAAGTTGATATAATTACACAGATAGTCCATAATAATGGTTTCAACGCAGATACAATCCAGAAGTTAGTCAGAAAACAAAGCCGTAAATTACTTACAGATTAATATACCCCCAGACATATTTTGCTAAAACAGAGATAATTGTGGGTTTATTCATAAAAAATAATGTGGAAATGGCATTTAGACCACGTGCCAGGTTATCTGATTTCCTTTTCAATGCCAAAGATAAAGTGGACGAGTTGGAAATGTCTGGAGTTCATAAGCTCAAGTGTCTGGAGTGTAATAGTGTTTATGTGGGACAATGTGGTCGAAATTTCTAAAAACGGTATGCTGGACATGAAAGATCTTTCAGACTAGGAAAAAATGATTCGACGTTTTCAAACAATTCTTTGGCATGCAACCACAAGTTTCCGAATCTAAACGATACGGAAATTTCGCACTAGGCAAGGATGGGTTACAAATTCAATTATCTAGAATCCTTAGAAATTCACAAGCATAAACAATGCGGGTGCAACCTGTTAAATGATGAAATCGATTTTATCTACTCGCCGGTTTTCAAATTGGCAGATTCGCATTGTGAACTATAAATTCAGGTACTCAATCAAGCCAAGTACCTCTATTAGTACCTACAGGGGTGGTATATAATGGCTAATGTAATATATCATCGTTAGTTTATTGTATAAGTTTGAAAATGACCGTATTGGACGAAACTGCAGTAACGTTAGTTACAAATAAAAGTGGTAAAAAACATAGAAAGTTTCATTTCTCTTTTTTTATTATAAATTTTATATTAATCATTTTATTTCATTCAATTAATGCCATTTTATATATTTTTTCTGCTCTCTCCATTCTAAACTGATCTTCATGTGTTTGACAGCTGGTAGGTGATGGCTCATTTAGAATACACCTGTAATCTAAATTAATTGCGGCCACTTCCTTAAGAAATTGGAAAAAATGATGATGTATATAACATTATGAAAAGAGAAATGAAAATTTCTATGTTTTTTAACACTTTTAACATCCATCAATGTATATAACATTCACTCTGATAAATATGATCTTATGAATACAATTGTCCAAAAGCTAAAACCAGTGAATTTTATCTCCAAATTCTCTGTAAAATCGAAATAAAAATATATTTTCAGTAAATTTATTGTTCAATAGTTTGTGGTTTGGTAATGAATCTAATTATATCCGTGAATCAACAATCACTTGTTTTAATTATAATCTATCATTCAGTATCTCGTAAAAATTCAAAATGAGTGATAACGATCAAGAAATTCGTGCTACCCCACCAGATATTACCGAACATGCAAATATTGCGATGAATAATTTGCTGTCAGCAAAATCAAGAGAAAACTACGAATATAATTTCGAAAATTTTATGAGTTGTAGAACAGCAAATAAGGAACTCGCGTTCCCTGGAGCTTCAAAACGTATTCTTCCTGCACGTTTTTGACCGAAGAATTGTCGTACCTTAGCCAACAGTTGTAGCCAACGTGGAAGCCATCCGTCATGTAGTGTCCAATATTGGTATCTTTACCGTCGTGGTAAACAACAGCGAATAGCGTGTTTCCGACGATACCAATGTCGAATCGATTTTCAAGTCAAATCCAAACTCCGAAGCCTTGATAATCTTGGTGCAACCGTCGTGGAAAACACGTCTGAAGCAATATGAGCATTATTTGCTCCCTCGCTTCTACCTGCTCGTTAATTTTCGCACAGTCAGCCTTTCTGAACTATTCTTGGAGACGAGTACCTCAAGCGCTTCAGTGACAGTCTTTACTTTCTCAAT